TAAGTATTGCAGGGTTTTGGCTGAATACTACAGGCAGTGCTCAAGCCACAACTACTATTATAATGATCCTGTGAACTAGTGAATGGGACTTTCAAGGACTGCTTCATTGATACCTGTTTTCTTTTGTTCAGTGTTTACTGGCATTAGAGTTTTCACATGCCAATCATATCATTCACCAGGACATAAAAAGTGATAATATGGTTTTGGAAATGAAAGGAGAAGTTAAACTTAGTGAGTAACAAGTGAAGAAAAAAACATTAATTTTTTTTTACTGTACTTTCCTACCTTTTATATATTAAAAAAACCTCATCTGTTTATATTTTTGAAAATTAATATATAGAAGGGGAAAGAATCTATTCTAGAGGCAAAGACTACAAACTAGGAACTAGATTGGATTTAAATAACAAACCTGCTATTACTTACTAAGTACTTTGGGTGATAAATCTCTGTCTCTCTTTTCTCATTTATTCACTGAGGAAGATAATAGTACCGATCTCAGGATTCTTTTTGGAGGTTAAAAATGTAAAGGACTAAGAAGCAGTGTCTAGGACTGTCCTAGTGTTGATGCTGTCTTAAAGGGATCAAGTTGAATTTGTTTATGCCATCTGTTAACATTGTTTTTTTTTTTCATTGTACTCTTCAGAATTCTCTAAGTTTTATAGAGTATAGCCTAATAACGAGAAGGTTATATGACCCTGACCTCAGAGATGACAAGAAAAATATCCCACTTTTCTAATGTTCTTCTGTATGAGACACAGTAGGGTCATAAAAAAACATCCTGAACTTCTTTCCTCTGTGCCCATAATCTTCGAATACCTTCCTGCCCTCTGGAGAACTCAGGCAGAGCTATTAAACTACATACTGTAAAGGTTACTCAATCAGGTCATGAAAATATAACATTCTATATTTAAATGATTTTAGTGGGCAATTGGAAATAGATAATCATATACATTTTGGTGGAGACATATGAAAATGGAATTAGACATATTGGTTAATGTTTTGTGGTGACTCTGACACTAGATGAATGCTCTTAGGTAAATTAACTACAAATATATATGCCTTGGATACCCATTTGTAAATGAGAATAATCTTAATAGTAAGCATACCTGGGGCTCAGCTTAGTGGGGCATGCCTGTAATCCCAGTTGTTTGGGAGGCTGAGGCAGGAAGATTACAAATTCAGAGCCAGCCTAAGCAATTTAGCCAGGCCCAAAGTAACTTAGGAAGACCCTGCCTCTAAATAAAATATTGAAAAAGCCTGAGAATGTGGCTCAGCGTTGAAGCACCAAGGCAAATTACCCAGAACCAAGTGTTTTAAAACTACCTATCTCATAGGGTATCATGAGGATTAGATGTTTTTACAAGGTACTTGGAACAGTACCTGGCTTTTATAAACACTGATTTTCATTATAAATATTATTTACCCTAACAGTTGCTCTTTTCTGTATTCACTCCTATAGAATTACTAAATTTTATCTGCAATATGATAAAGAAAAACTAAACTATATTAAATGTCAAAGAGTAAAGAAATGGAAATTAGGTGTGTATATACACTATAATATTTATAGTTTTTAAAATGAAGCAGATAATATATTAATATGAAAGGATATCTTCAATAAACAGTTTACAAAATCTCCTAGTTAGGTAAAACAAACAGGAGTTCATAGCTATTATTCATTCTTCTGTAAATACAAAAGAGTCTAAAGCTTACAGACCTGAAACCAGTAGTTACCTAAGTAGTTGAATGGCTTTAACAATAGAAGTGAAGAAAAGATTGTAAATTCTCATCCTGACCTTTCAACAAAATTACCATCAAGTACTAAAGTAGGTTTTCTGTTCCTCAGTTACAATAGAGACAGGTGGGGTAGATTAATGCTAGTGAGTACCTTGTCAGTACAATTGCACTCAACTGTGTTCTTTTTCTAAGCACTCTGCTCAGTTGTATGCTTAGGGATTCTAGCTTCTCTTTATTTTATTCTAAAGTAGTTTCAATGTCTTAACCTTTGCCTGATTCACTGCATTTAGATTTGGTATCCAACTTTGGTGATTTTCCTCCCTTTCTGGTAAAACATCTCTCAGTTTTACTAAAACTTGAAGAATAAAATGTATTATTAAGAATGAAAGCCCTTCTAATAATTTGTACTATGTTGTAGGAAGAAAAAGCAAAAAGTGGCAGTATGCAATGTTTTCTAAATATTTTAATCCCAGTCTGGATTACTTTATTGTTAAATTCTTTTTTTAAGAAAAGAGCCTGAACATTCAAAATGTAATTATAGCATCTGAAGTGAAGTCTTTTAAAAAACCTTCCCTAGAAACTATTAACTCTAAATGTTTTGTTTTTGTTTCTTAGCTAACTTTAGTTTTTGTGCTCAGATCACCCCTGAGCAGAATAAACGCACTACCATGGTTGGAACACCTTATTGGATGGCCCCAGAAATGGTTACGTGGAAAGCTTATGGTGCTAAAGTTGACATTTGGTCTGTAGGTATCATGGATATTGAGATGCTTGAAAGAGAGCCTTCATATCTGAATAAAGATCCCTCAAAGGTAAGACCAGTTTAACACCAGCTTTATTTTTTCTCCTTACAGCATAGTTCAAACTTCCTTGTGTTGTTCATTGGTCAAAAGTTTACAATCAAAATATGATTGTATTCTGCCCTTATTATGTATCTACAAATCACACAGCTTCTGAGTTAGAGAGCTGAGAGTGTTAGCTGAAGAGTGTAGATTTTTACTGGTCAGCAGTGTGGTTTCTTGTTTTGGGTATAAGTAAGAACATATTCAGCTTTTTACATAGTTGAAGTACCCTAGTTAGTTGCCTTTTTCTATAGAGTTAGGGTATTTTTCTTACACATTTAAGTACCCTGCATATAGAAATGAGGTTATCCACTTTGAATGTCAGCCTCTTCACCCCAAAGTCCAGAAAAGAGAAAAGCAAGGACACACCTCTGAGAAAGGTATATAACTGAGAGTGTTCAAGCCCATTTTTAAACAGAGTAGACTTTGAACAAGTAAATATTCTTGCATTTGAGGTGAAGAATTTCAACCATCCTCCAATCTCCATTTATATTCCCATATGTGACACAACATCATTAGTAATTAAAGACATACAAATCAAAACCACAGGACACCACTTTCCACCTCATTTCAGACAATAATCAGCACTGTTGAGAATGTGGTAATATTGGAATTGTTGTTCAGGCACCGTGGTGCACACCTGTAATCCAGGGACTTGGGAGGATAAGGTTGGAGGATTAGAAGTCCAAGGCCAGCCTGGGCAACTTTGTAAACTCCATCTCAAAATAAAAAAAAATGGTTATAGCTTAGATGTAGCACACTAATTAGTTCAATTCCTAGTACTATAAAAATGAAAATTAAAAAAAAGTTTGGAATTCTCATATATTGCTAGTGGGAATGTATTATGTGGCACTGCTTTGGAAACAAATTTGACAGTTCTTCAGAAAATTACTATTAAGTTAACATATGACCTAACAATTCCACTACTAAGTATATATCAAGAGAATTGAAAACCTATGTCCATGGAATGGAAAATATAGATCAATGGTAGAGTGCCTAGCATGCACAAGACCCTGGGATCAGTCCACAGATCTGCCAAAAGGAAAAAGGCAACATGCCAACAAAAAAGGTGCACAAAGTGTTCATAGCAATATCATTTAGACTATAGAGAACTAGAAACAACCCAATTATCTGTCACCTGATGAATAGTGGAATATTATTTGGCCATAAAAGAGAAGGAAGTGCTAATACATGTGCAATATTGACCCTTGAAAGTATTATACTGAGTAAAAAAGCCAGACAACAGAGGGGATTGGATTTAGATATTCTTTGCTGAAAGATTTTTCAGAACCCTGTACTTTCATTTATTTATTTAGCCAATATTGAGTTTAATACCAGTCTTGTGCTAGGCAGTGTTTAAATTGCTGCCCAGAGAATCAACAAAAATTCCTGCCCTTGTAGAACCTACACTCAGATGAGAGGAAAGAAACAATAAGGTAAATCAGAATAATAAATTAAGCAATAGACTCTTTAAGTGCTAGATTGGCAAGGAGAGAGAGCGGCAGGGGAGTCAGGGATTTTCTTTTAAAAACAGTGCTTTTGGAGGGTTTCACTGAGGTGACATTTGGACACAGATGTAAGAGAGTGATGCTTATTTACCTAGGGAAAGGCATGACAACAATTACAAAAACCCTAAAGCAGGAATATTCCTGGGGCATTCAAAGATCTTGAAGGAATTTATCAGAGTCAGAGTGCATTGAGCAAACAATTGGCAATAAGGTAGTCAGTGAAATGAGGCCCTGTGTAGTGCTGTGTGGGGATTCTGACTTTTTATCTGAGATGAGAATTCTGGCTTGTGTTCTAAGATGGGGAAACCACTGGAAAGTTTTGAGCAGAGGCATAAAATAGTCTTACAAAAAATTTAACAGGTTCACTCTGGTCACTTTGTTAAGAGGAGATTCTCAAGGAAGGCAAAGGCAGAAGCAGGAAGACAATTTGGAAGCTGTTGCAATAATTCAGGCAAGAAACAGCAGCAATGTAGACAAGGATGTTTTCAGAGGTGGTGATAAAATAAATAGCTAGATCCTGGATATATTTTGAAAGGAGAGTTGATGTAAAAAAAAAAAAAAAGAGTTTAGTCTAAGCAAAGGGAAAGATGTTATTGAAGTTTACCTTAGTTGATATGGGAAAGACTGCAGGACAAGTAGAGGGGTTGGGATGGTAGGTGGGAATTTAGCTGACAACATTCTAACATTTTAGGCATTTTAAAGTTAAGACACCTACTAAGATGTTCAAGTGGATATATTGATGAGGCTGTTGGGAATGCAAGTCTGGAACCCAGGTTAGAGAGATCAAACTGAGGTTCTTAGCTACAAATGTTTTCTAAAGCTATAAGGCAAAATGACATCACAAGGTCCAAAAGGGTATAGACTGACAAAAATTCAGCTGGTACCCTGACACAGTCCATAAATAAGAGTTGATCAGGCAGACCAGCAAGGAGACTAAAAAGGAATGGCAGGAAAGATAGGGAAAACTAGATAAAGAAATGCCCTGAAATCTACATGCAAGAAGTGAGGGAGAGATCAGCTAGGCAAAAACTGCAGTTATTTCAATTAAGATGAAGACTGAGACTTGATCAATTTAGGCATAATGTTGGTGAAAACTTGAGGAATGGGAACATCTGCTTTCTGTCAAAATGAAGTAACACAGACCAGATTAACCCACCTTGCCTAAATCAACCCTCCAAAACAAGATTCTGTGAACCAGTACTTTTCAAGACACTGCATCAGACAATAAGTGAAGGACAATAAGGAACAACTGAAGTGAAACTTATGGCTGCCCCAGTTGCCAGGCCATGTTCAGAGAGGGATGACTCTGATGGGACATTGCTGGAAAAGCTGTGAAAGAAGAAAAGATGAAGACTTTCAAGATCTGTGTGGAGAAGCCCCCCTTAAGCATTCAAAGGAGATTGGTATGAAGAGCCAATGTAAAGACTAAGATAATTATCTGACAAGATTGGAAAGGAATGGGTTGGGGTGTAGTTTAGTGGTAGAGTGTTTGCCTAGCATTTGCAGGAACTTGTTTCAGTCTCCATCTCTAGGAACAAACATTGGGGTTGGGTGTGATGGTGCACATCCATCGTCCCAGATAGTTGAAAGGTTGAGGACTACTTGTATGAGGAACATAGTGAGATCTCCAGCTCAGAAAAACAAGATTGGAAGGAGCAGTTCATGCCACATTTGAAAGCTTGGGAGTAGTGCCTGTTTCTCTCAGCCACTGTGGAAAACCTTATCATTCACAAGAAGATGAGTAGAAGACATTGAATCTAATCTCAGTGATGGGAAATAACTACCATTAAGTTAAATGCTACTTCAGTTCCACCTAACAAATCTTACAAATGAGACCCAAATAGCTTAAAACTGCATCCCAGCACAAAGCCTAAGAATATTTACAGGGCCACAACCATAACCATGGTTATACTCAGACCTCAGAAAAGGATTTTCAGCATCCTCTGCCTTGGATCTGGTTGGACCCAGTGAAATCAGTCATTTCCCAAATGTCATTCAACTATCAGCAGATCCGGAAGATGATCAAAGGAGGGATTTTCATCTATGAGCTTGAGACTGTCCATTCCCAGGCTAAATCTGGAAAAACACCATGGCCTGAAAGAAGGGGAGTCATGTGGGCATATGTTAGAAAAGGTAACCTGGATGAGAAGGGTAAGAATTGTGAAGTGGCTGCTCAAAAGATATCACGAATCTGAAAAGATTGACATTTGTACCAGAGCCTGTATCTTCAGATAAGGGAACATAGCCAAAACCAAAGCAGATTCTCATGGAACATACCCCCAAGCTGAAGGCAGACAAGACCTGTGAGAATCTTAACTGACCTGGCTGAGGCCCATGGGTCTGAAACCAGGGAAGATCACAAGCTTTGTGCAAAGCACCACCTGGCCAAGGAAGACTGTCAAAGGATGAAGTTACCCAGAAATAAATAAGGCTCTACCTCCTGTGTGTCCTCCATAGTTACATAGATCAGTTGTTCAAATAAAAGAAGCCTTGATCTACCTGGAGAAAAGTAAACGAATATTGATACAAATCCAGATGTGACCAGAACCCAACAAGTATCCAGACATCCCATAAACATTTTACCAGAGAGACAAAGGAGAGAAAAATCTTGTTCATAATGAGGTAAAAATATTCAGCTGAATCCAACCTAAAACTAACACCAATCAAAGAATTAGTACAGAAGAATTCATCATTAAAATAATATTTATAATTGTGTTCAAGGTATTTAAAAGTCAGATATATCTTTAAAAGACCCAAATGAAACTTAATCATGTGTTATGGTTTGGATATGAAGTGTCCCTGAAAAGCTCCTGTGTTAATATTTCTTAAGTGAAATGATAGGATTAGGACAGCTGTAATCCAATCACTCTATCCTAGTTTGAATGGGCTAGATGGAAACTGTAGGAGTGTGGCTGGGTGACATGGGTCACTGTAGGCTGCCCTCCAAGCATTTGTTTTCCTCGCACCCCTTTCTTCTTCTCTGTGCTTTCTGGCCACCTTGAGCAGAGCAGCATGCCTCCATCATGCTCTTCTGCCATGACATTGTGCTTCACCTTGAGCCCAGAGTATTGCAGTCAGTGCACCATGGATTAGCAAAATGCATGTTCCTCTAAGGTTTTCTTGTCAGGTGTTTTGGTCACAGTGACACAAAACTGATGAACACATTATGGAAACTAACATCTGAGATTGGGTTAATAGTAGATTATTATAGAAATAAAGAACTAGCCACAGTGAAACATAAACATAGAAATGAAATAAAATCAGTGAGCTGTGAGACCATTTCAAGTGTTTTAGTAATATATAATGAAGTTCTGAAATAAAAAAATCAACCCAGAAATCTATCTTTCAAAAGCTAAATAACAGCTATCTCAAAAACATT